AGCCTGGTAAGATTTATGCAGAACTTCCTGGAAAGGGAAACAACAATGCTCAGGAACCGTTATTGGAGAACGCCGGTTAAAGCACCTGTACCAGCCAAAAAGTCAGAGCAGCCGGCTCAGAAGAAGCCGTCTTCCGCACCGAAATCAAAGAAGGTGTGGAAGGAAAAGCCAAAGACGCCCACTCCATCACCTCCGGAGACGGGTGGAAAATCCATGAACTAAAACGAAAGGAGGTACGGTCTTGCACATCGGACTTTAAATGACGCGACCTTCGCCAACAGGTAAATTGGTATGTATCCGCATATTTGCTTTCAACAATTTGAATTTTTTTGAATTTCAAAATTGCATTTAGGATTTTTTGAATTGGGAGGAAATTTTTCAAATGAATTTTTCAGAGCAAACCAAAATAAAATTTTCAACGAAAATTCACTATGCCACGACCACACTGACCGTTGGAACCCAATGGCTGAAAGTGGGGCCGGTTGGGCCCACCAGGGGTTCGGCCGAACACCCTGGTTCGGCCGAACCGGGCAGGCAACGGTCGGCTGCCTCATTTTTTGAGGCAAGGGCTAGTGGGCCCCACAGGTCAGTTTTGACCATTGTGGGTACCCTATAAAAGCCAGCCGGCTGAGAGAGGGAATTCCACCCCATTTCGGCACATTTCATTCCCTATCCAAAGTTTGCTCTCAAGTTCATTCAAGCTTTGATAGTTTTCCTCAAGTTCAAATCTTTAGTTGCATACATAGAAGTTGCTTTGGTGAAACTAACCGGCGGGTGAAACTCTTGTCATTTCTAACCCCCGCCAAGTTAGCCTGTTCTTGCTCCATTGTGCAGTATGAGGAGGCGACTGTCTCGTCTGTTCAAGGGGTCAGGCTCTCCATCAAGTCGTCATGACGAGTCTAGCACTCGCTCATCAGCTGATGTCTCGATGGAAGACACCGACGCTCCGCGACAACTCCTAAGCGACGCTGACCTCGACCTTGTCAGTGATCGGGAGTGACAAGCCTACTACATGCTAAGCAACCGGGAGTATGCTCACACACGAGAATACTCACCGAAGTTGATGAAAAAGATATGTATGGATGTTCAATTTCGTTCTATTTGGAAAGTTGTTGGTTGGCAGAGATTTGCTGTGGTAGATGAGCCTAATTCTCGTTTGCTTACTTTGCAATTTTTGTGCACTTTGAAAGAAATAGAAGATGGTATTTCTTTTCGCTTCTTCCATAAGGAGTTCACGCTCACAAGGAAAGGCTTGAGTACACTTCTTGGTTTTCACGATTCCTGTAAAATCGATCTCCAGAAAGGAATTTCTGGGTTTGAGAAAAATAGGTTTTGGGAAGATATTTCTGGTGCTCCAATTTGCAAGAAACCTAGAACGAATGATATCCATAATCCTACACTTAGGCTCATGCACAAATGGATTGCTATGACTTTGTTTCCTAGAAGTGATCTGAGACCCATTAGGGGAGATGAATTAATTATCATGTTTGCCATGGTTAGAAAAATCAAAATTTGTCCTGTGAAATGTATGATAAGGCAATGGTTAGACAGTATAAAGTTCTCTGCTCCTGTTGAGTGCACTTCTCTGATTACTCAGATAGCAAAAGGGCTAGGGGTCGTTAGCGACCAAATTGCTTTTATCTCAGCCGCTCGTCCACGTATTGATGAGGCCTATCTAGTGCAATGGCATATTTTGAAACATGAAGCAGATGGATCTTTGATATACTTTTTCCCCGGTTGTACAAATGAAATCCTGTTGCCAAATGCGGGGTATCATTTGTACAACTGCCATGAACTAACCATTCCCCTGCAGACCATAGAAGAATCTCGTGCAGGTGGAACATACAGGGAGACGCGCAACATGACAAGGAATGAACAAGGAAGTTCATCATCCTCTACACCCGTGCAGATGTATGAGGTAGGTTGGGCACCAACTGGGATGCACCTGGATGGACCCAAGCTCCACGCCATAGCATCAGAGTCTCAACCTGGGCAAGCGCCAGTGAGGACCGGTGGCATGCGCCTCATGACATCCACTGGGGGGACAACCAACCCTCCAGATCAAGTGGTGTGCCTCGATCTCCAAGCGAATGGCGCTCGAGTTCCTCTCGTTGGGACTTGGGTGAAATCTCTAGGAGAATGGACACCCTTGATGTGTAGACGGGGGAGATCCAGTATGACCTCACGGAACATATAGCTCAAACGCAAGAATGGCAACAATCTGCTGATGCTCAGTTCACCAACATCAACAACATGATGCAGCAACAGCACGACGACCTTCAAGCGTACTTTCGCTTTAAGGGGTTCAATCCACCCTGAGTGATAGCCAAGCTTGGGGGGAGACCTTGCTCCCCCCACTGAGGTAACTTGTATCACATTGCATATTTCCCTTTCTAATTTCATATTTGCTTTCCAATTGCATTCTATAAAACATGAAAACAACATAAAAATTTGCAAAACAGAAAATACCAAAAAGATAGGATAGGTTTGAGTCATGCTAGGTAAGACAAGCAAGTTCTCTTTGTTGAAATGATGAATAGTTGCTCTGTTTTATATCTCTTATATATGGGTTCTTGGTAAGTACTCTCTCGAAGATTGAATAAAAGTAGCCAACAATTATCCAGGAACCTGAGGTAAATGGGCTGCACATGCTGATCTAATTCTAGGTTATTGCGAGATATGAGATAGTAAAAATGAGTAGCTATGATCCTGATACTAGTTTGACTTAAATTCCGGATGTTTTGTTTTGCAAAATGATAAATTGAAAGTTCCTCATTTGATATAAATTCCTACCAGAGCCAAAAATGTGCTATCATGATTAAACCATATGCATTTTGATTACTTGCTATTCCATTGAACTTTGTCAAACTCTTGTGACTTGTGTAGATACTTCTCATGCTCTATGATCAAGATCATACACCCACATATATGCACATGCTAAACTCCTACACTGGGAGCTAAGAAATATTCCACTCCATATCCATATTTCCACCAAAATAAATTCTCCATGCTTTCATGTGCTTTCTTCTCTTAAAAAGAAAAAAAAAATCCTTTTGAAAAGAAAGAAAAAAAAGAGGAGGGAAAGGCATGGTTATGAAAAAAAAAGGTTATGCTCCATCAAGCATGAGTATGATTGAAAAAAAAAATGTAATCATGCCCTCTCCTAGTCAATAAAAGAATGATTTTTGGGAGAAGAAAGTAAGCACAAAGGAGAAGCATTTTTCTTTTATTTTTCCTCATACACCATTTCCACTATATACCACACACATTATGCACGATCTTGATCTTGAGTATGTTTAGTTATCTGCTTTAGTCTAAGTTTTTGACTTAGTAACAGATGTGAATGCAAGTATGCCATGTTTGATCCCTACCGAGCTCCACATATAAACCTTAGAGTAGGAATAAAAATGCATTATTTGGTGAGGAATTCAAAATGATACACTTAGAGAGACTAAGTGAATCAATTAAGGAACTTGGTTTTCTTTTCCAAAATCATTTGAAAACTTCCGGAACAAGAGTTGAGTAAAGATCGGGTGATTGGTGCTATAATTGCTGTTCTGTCTTTCAACCGCCCAAGGCAAGGAGAAGCAGTGTCTCGTGGGAATCAGGGGTAAGGATAAGCCAAAGTGCAAAAGATTATTTAATCTGAGAGAGAGTACATATACCTTGCACCTGTATCTTTGAGATATGCAGCATAGTAACAACTCCTGATCAACAGCCAAGGCTTTGTTTCCTTTCGTCCTTCACTCGGGACGAGCAAAGGTTCAAGCTTGGGGGGTTTTGTTGACGGTCGTTATCGATCAGCTTCGACCGTCAATATTACTAAAATAGGAGAGAACTAGTGATGCTTACAATGCATAAATATGTTAGAATAATAATATTCTACTAGTATTAGGTCTACTAACCTTTTGCGGAGAAGACAATAAAGTGAAGGAAAATCGACATCAACTCAGACGATAGATCAATCGGATGATGTCGAGAACCAGACTTGTGTATGAATGGCCAAGAACGCAGACTTGACACGATGAATCAGGCCAAAATTCACATGTCTACGAAGTGAAGCAGCAGAGAGGGCCACCAGCCAAAATGTGGGCAGGTTAGGCCAGCCCCAAGTTCGGCCGAACCTGGTTGTTCGTCCGAACCTCCCGTGAAGCCGATGGATGCAGGGTTTTGAGGGAACGGTGGAGATTCACTCCCTATGGTGGTTGGAGGGTATTACTGACCTTTCCAACTACCATAACCGTCATTACCTGCCTATTTAAGGAGTTTACTCTCTTCACTTCAACACACACCTCAAGCAAGAGCTCTCTCATTCCTCTCAAGTTTAGTTTAGTAGTATCTAGCTGGTGGAATAGAATTAGAATAGGAATTAGGAGTCCGGAAGTCTTCGGAATAGTTCGGGTATGGCTCTAATAGCTTTCCTTTCCTCTTTTGTAAGCTTTGTACTTTTATTATAATACTATTCTATATACATTTCTAGTATTGAAATACTTTCCGAGTATATGAGTACCTACTTTATATTACGTTCATGTTATATTGAGTATACTGCTAGCTTATCTGAGATACACTATACCCACACCAAACCATCTCCAAGATAAGCTAGCCGTATATTCAGTATAACAAGAACATAATATAAAGTTGGTACTCATATACTCAGAAAGTATTTCAATACCAGAAATGTATTTAAAAGAGTATTCTAATAAAAGTACAAATCTTACAAAAGAGGAAAGGAAAGCTAATAGAGCCATACCCGAACTCTTCCGAAGACTTCCGGACTCCTGATTCCTATTCTAATTCTATTCCACTAGCTAGATACTACTAAACTAAACTTGAGAGGAATGAGAGAGCTCTTGCTTGAGGTGTGTGTTGAAGTGAAGAGAGTGAAGCCCTTTTATAGCTAAACTATGACGGTTGTGACGGTTGGAATGGTTGGTAATACCCTCCAACCGGCATTGGGGCTTCATCTCCATTTTCCAGCCAAAACCTGGATCCAACGGAGGCAAGGGAGGTTCGGCCGAACCTGGGGCTGACCCAATCCAGCCCAATTTCGGCTGGCGGCCGGCCTCCTCTGCTGCTTCACTTCGTAGACTTGTGAATTTTGGCCTGATTCATCTTGTCAATTCTGAGTTCTTGGCCCATTCATACACAAGTCTGGTTCTCGACATCGTCCGATTGATTTATCATCTGAGTTGATGTCGATTCTCCTCCACTTTATTGTCATTCTCTGCAAAAGGTTATTAGACCTAATACTAGTGGAATATTATTATTCTAACATATTTATGCATTGCAAGCATCACTAGTTCTCACCTATTTTAGTAATATTGACGGTCGAAACTAGTCGATAACGACCGTCAACACTAACCCTGTCTGACTCGAACCCTGCCGATCTTAGTCGTAGCCAATTCGGACTTTAGCCGATCCTCACTCTATTTCAGGGACAATCTCTATCTCGAACTCCGTCTTGATTCCTCCTTCACGTCCGATCCTTGGATTACCAAATTTGGTCGTTAACAGAACCCCAACGGCAAGGCACCTCCTCCCCTCCCCTCCCTCCCTTCACCCGCAACGCAACAAGACCCCCTTCTTCTTCTCCAGCAAGGCAGCAACCTGGATCGACCAAAGACCAATGGAGCTCTCGGAATCCTCCTCCAACGCAAATCTTCTTGGACAATCTTCCAAAGTCAGAAAGTCAAACCCGCCACACGCCTAGTAGACTTGCGCGGGGGAGGGAGAAGGCAGCGGCGTTCCCGGAGTCCACCGTGCGGAGCGAGCACCTCGCAGCGATGGCGACGGCGAAGGCGGATGATCTCCTAGCGCCAGCAGAGGAGACGAGCAGCGTCGGTGGTTGGATTGGGAGTCCGCCGCGTGGAGTCCTCCCTACGCCAACAACGGTTCAACGGAGGCGGAACATCGCGCGGAGCGGGCACCTCCCGGCGACGGCGACGTCGGATGACCTCCCAGAGCCAGCAGAGGAGACGAGCGGCGTCGGCGGTTGGATAGGGAACCCTAACCCTAAATGCACCTCAAATCGCGGAGACGAACGACGAGCGCCGTCTACGCGCCGGCTCTGACCTGTGCCTCGTCACCCACCTCGCCCGCCGCCATCGCGCCTCCGCCGCCCCCTCCTTCCCCTAACCCTAACCGCACCTCAAATCGTGCCGCCGCGCGGAGTCCTTCCCGCCAGCGGCGGTTCAACGAAGACGGTAGCGGCGGGGGACTGGATGTCGTGGGGGATTGGATTTGTTTTTTTTTTTTGCATTTTTATTCTGTGGCGACGTGGTCAGCCGATGGTGCACGCTTGCGCGGTTTGTTTGGGCCGGATGACAGGTGGGTCCCATGGGATAGTGGATATGAAGGATTGCAGAATTATGGATGAACTCGTATTTTTTATATTAGTATAGATGACTGCAATTAATTGTTAACCACGAGCCATTTTTTTAATTTTTTTCAGGCACAATGTATACAGCAGCGAATTTTCAGTCATTTCAAACTGTCGTAGTTATCGTCTCCCCACTTTTTTCGGATAGTTTTTTTTTCTCGCCGGCGACAGTGAGCGCCCTTCTTCTCTCGTCGCCCGTGCAGCGGAGGTCGCCCGCGCCGCCGCAAGTTCCTTCCAGGCGGGGAGGTAACATGCTACACAACACCGCCCCCAAAACATTTTCCCCTGTTGGATGGCGACTTGGGCGCTCCATCGACTACTGGATGGCACCATGCGGTTGAGGCTGCGACACCCCCCACCCCCACACCCCCCCGCCCTGTGGCACCGTCGGCTGCCCCTTTGTCGCCGACATCCATCCCATCGCCGGATCTAGGAGAGCTTCGCCCGAATTCTCTTCTGATTCTTGCGTGTCGGTGGTGGGTGGAGAGCAGCGGTACCAACGACATTTGAAGCACAGAGGGTGGCAGGATTCGGAGAGGAGGCTGCGGATCAGGGGTCCGATGGGTCGTTCTCCCTCCTCCCTAAAGCGGTGGCGAAGGATGTCAGTAAATTGTTGTTGGCGTTGTGCGCGGCAGGTCAGCGCCGCCAAGGAATACAGGAGGTCCGTGTAGCGGCTGTAGTCAATTGAAATCTATTTCAGGTACAGCTCGTTAGTTCCTATCAACTAAGGCTGTGTTTAGATCCAAAGTTTGGATCCAAACTTCAGTCCTTTTTCATCACATCAACCTGTCATACACACAACTTTTCAATCACATCATCTCCAATTTCAACCAAAATCCAGCCTAAGTAGTAGCGTTATATGGTATCAGTAGTTTTTTTATCAGCCTGTATTGGATTGCACCGTCGTTTTGATTTTGGATGAGCTATGTGCCTGTGTTGGCTGTGGGGATGCGGTTTTGTTAAGATTGGGTAGTAACAACTGATTAATGCCTGCCGACGGAAGGGCATGCATTTCAATTGGCAGCCAACGGGATGAAGTTAATATATGTCAGGTACCTAACAGAACTAATCTATTCATGTGTTTTGTATCCGTGTATTGAGTGGACACATCCAACCTAAACACATTAGAAGTTGTTTGGTGGATGGCTTCGCTTGGTGCTATAAGTGTATACGTGATGAATCATGCATGCAGGGCTGTTCTTAGCTTCTGAAAACAATAGAAGAACTAGGATGATCTGTAGATGTGCACATGTGGCCTAGAGTCAGCTTAGGTGTCGCATTCTCTGACAAACGATTGCTTTGGTAAACCAAGACTGGTGTTTTTTATTAGTACTAATTTGGTTTATTTGATTAGTTGTATATACAATCAATTGTTTCCTGTAAATAATTTTGACTGAACGTTACAATGGAAGTTATTCTATGTCCTCCATGGCATTCAGATGGTAACTGAAAATATATGATCGCTGGTAGGAGTATGTGCTTTCAACTCTGTAGCTTGCAGCAGTTCTCTTGGTAAAAACGAGCCAAAAATTCTCTAATAAGCTTAATCCACACGATCAACAATTCATAAGCCTCTTGATCAACGTTTTGCCACTTATCCCTGATATGTACCACCAAATGCCCATTTAGATTTCCCATGAGCTTGCACTTGCATTAACTTTTGGCTTTTCAGCCTGCAAGCATCACCATGTCCTGTGCAATGCTCAGTTGCTCATAGCCTCATACTATGAGTCAATCCACTAAGGCATCCCTACTCATAGTGCATATATATGGCAAATTTTGGTCTTGCAGGAGCACAATGTAACCCGGTGGACTCGAAGATGATGAAATGCATCATGCGGTGACCTGGGAAACATTGTCGCTAGCGCCGGAGGTATAACTTTCAACAATCACTAATAATGCACCTCTGTTGGTTGTTAGTGCACTAATCTTTTGAGGCATTACTGATTTTATGGTCTGCATGTTTAATAGCGGCCATGCTTGATCCTGGGCTGCCCATCCTGATTCCTAATGCTACCGCCACACAGTCCTGTTCTACGCTGGTTGGTTGGCGAGCCAGCCGCCTCCACTACAACATTCGTCCATCAAAGATGGATCCCGCGGTGAAGAGGAGGATATGCTGATCTGAATTTCTTTGATGATTTTTGTTGGAGTGTTTATATCCTTTGTAACTTTTTTACTTTTGAGTTTAAGCATATCATTTGTTTATTGTATAGTGTGTCTGAATGTAACAGAACCCGTGTGTAAAAGAAAATATTGTCAATAGAGGCTACAATGTTAACTGGTAGCTTGGTTTTCTGATGAATACAAGTTAATTGGTAATGTAGTGTGGAGGTGAATAATATCTGACCGGCAGTGATTTATTTACTCACGGGCTGACATACTGTTGTAGGGTCAAAACAAGTAATTTTTTAACTCACCGTGTTAGGCTCCAAAGTAATTTATTTACTCGCGGTCTAACAGGGACGAAATAACAAGGAATGATTTTTTTACTGGAGGAACGGAAAGAAGAATCGAACGAGAGCGAGAGAAAAGCGGGAGTGGGAGCGTGCGCCAAAATAAAAAAATTACTCGTGGCTGTAGGCTTCAAAGTAATTTTTTTACTCGCGGTCTAACAGGAAAGAACGGAATAATAGGCGAAAAACTTTGACTGGAGGACCGAGATGAGGGGTGGAACGAGAGCGATGCGGTGGAAATTTTTTTCCGGGATCGGGAAAAAACGGAAAACCCAGAGGCAGTGATGAGAGTCGCGCTACTCATATATACATACATGTATACATATATACATATATGTATATATTAGCATGGTTCTCTCTTTAACCATTTTCCTTTGGGATTAAATAAATTCGATACATTGGAACACTTCCGGATGAAATGCTACAATTATATATCCCTGCGCTTGCGGATTACTTAAGTAACCATAAATATACTAGGACTATTTGTACGCTATTGTTGGGAATGAATATTTCTATTAATGTCGTTAAGAAATACCAACAAGCATTTCTAGCGCTGTTGCCAGGAAGATTAGTAAAAAGAGATTACTATCAGCTAATAATTATACATAGATAATTACCTCTGCATAATCATTATCCTTTGCAGGGTAACCTTGATTGTTTTCACTTGTGTCGTAAAAATAGGGTAGTGTATGACTGATTTCAATCTGCCAGAAAACTTCAACGAAAATCTAGAAGATTTCTTCCGGGGCGTCAAACCACGCGTTGTCCATCCGCAGAAGAAGCATTCGGCTCGGAAACCAGCCATCCAAGTGCCATCCGAGCTTTCGGCTGAAAAGACCCTTCGTGAATTCGCTGCTCCATCCTGATGTGACAATGGTTACTACAGATACAACCATTGCTCACATCATGGATGAACAAGAAGATATCAAGATCAAGTTCTCCAAGTGCTGGAATCCGATTTGGCCACATGCTACACTGCTGACTTTAAACAGTAGCCGAATCTGCATACGACCTCCGTTTTCGTCCTATGAGTACTTGATGGAAAATCTTCTTTCCAACGGATCCAGCCTCATCTTAGAATTCACTCTCGTTTGGCCGCAATCACAGAAGCAAGGTGATGCTTCACTAGTAAAGGCCTATGGGCTTGTAACTACGTCTAGGACCCCAGCCCAAGTGGGGCTTATGTGGGGTGCGCCCCAATCTGGTGGAGCACAACCCTTGGACCCTCTTGGTTGTCCTCCCACCTCTATAAATAGTTAGGTACCCCTTCATGGTTTCTCGGGTTTTGTTAGATTAAAGTTTAGCCATTGCTACTCGCTTGCAGCGCGCATGTCGGCTAGACCGTCCGTCTGCTTGTTCTTCGGAACCCCAATTTATCAATTGTATTCAATTTCTATTTGCAATATCAGATTGCTTTTATCTTGTTCTTGCTTGTTTCTTCGATTTGCTCGCAGGAATAAGCTTGATCTACACCAGCAAGATCAACAACCCACGAAGAGGTGTATCGATCACAAATGCGCAACACAACGTCTTGTACGGTTGTAGTCGGATCGTCAACATGTCTCCCAAATCGTAGTTATCTCAACTCACCGAAATATCGGGCCAACAACTGCCTTGAGTGTCAAGAGGAACTCAGGGTTTATCAGGTGGTATCAGAGCTTTCGTTGCTCGATGAGTTTTTATCTACCCATACCCATAACAAAAGAAAATCCAGATAAAAAAATTGTATCATTTACCTCGCCATATTGTGCCATTCCATTGTTCTTTTCAGCTTTTGCTTTGTTGAATTTTGTGTTGCATCGTCAGGTCATGTTGCTAGTCATAGCGTCCTTCGTTTAGAGTTTCAAGTTCTGGTCATGTTTTGTACCACAGTCATTGTCGCCTCCGTGTCTCTGTTGTCGTCGGGACCTACGAAAATGGAATCGGCTTGCTGCTGCGGTTCCATTTTTCTAGTTTTAGGAAGTTTTTGTCGGTCAGTCTTGGAGTTGCTGAGTTGCATCTAGAGTCGGACGTATGCATTTGGCCGTGCTTGTTGCTGTTGCGCGTGTGGTAGATGGAAGGGGTGTGGTAGATGGAAGGGAGAGATTAAATTAAATTGGTATTTGTTAGGTTTGGAAAGAAAATAGTAGATTGGATCGGTTTCCCTTTATCTCTCACCAAATCCGGACTCTGTGGTGCCGTATTGTAACACCCTGAAAATTCGACCGACAAAATCAAAACTCTAAAAATTCAGATTTTCAAAAAAACTTTTTAAATTAATTGCATCATGCCGATCTTATTCGTCTATTTTATCTGGATTTGATCTCGAAGATTATTAATCGTGAGTAAAGAATAGTTAATTAGGAATAAACCGTAAAAACAAAATTGGTAAAATACATACAAATTAAAATAAAGATTAGGTGGGGATAGAAATAAATAAAATATTATCGCGACCATATTTGGATCAATTAAATTTAAATACGATGGAATAAGAATTAACCCTAATTAAAACTCAAATAAATTATATAAAAATAAAATATGAGTAATATTAATCTAGGGTGAATTCATTAGTTAAGATAACACAATTATTGAGTAAAATGCATATATGCAAAATTAGGAATTGTGGAATCAAATTTATATGGAAAATACACTAAAATCGGGTTAATTAGAAAACGGCACTGTTCATTGCACCTAAGGTGTTCGACGCGGTCCCCTAACCCAGCTCCTCCTCTTTTCCCCTCTCTCTCGTCGCCAGCCGCCGCGCACCGTCGCCCTCGTCGCCTACCGCCGCGCCACCGTCGCCATCGCCATCTCATCGCCGCGGCCGCGCCGTCGCTGTCGCGTCCCGCCCCGCGCCGCGCGTGCATCCCATCGCCGCCTCGCGCCGCGCGCCACCACTGCCGCGCCGTCGCCGTCGCCATCCCGTCGCCGCGTGCGCGTTCCATCGCCGCCTCGAGCCGGGCCGCTGCCGCTGCCACGCCGCGAGCCCGCGCCACGCCACGCCGCGCCGTCCCATCGTTGCGGTCACGCCGTGCCGTCGTGTCGCCGCCCATCACATCCCGCCTCGAGCCGCGCGCCAGCGCTGTCGCCGTCGCCATCGACGTCCCATCGCCGCGCGCGTCTCATCGCCGCTGCCGCGTCGTCGCCGTCGCGTTCCGCCTCGCGCCGCGCGTGCGTCCCATCCCCATCTCGCGCCCCGCGCCGCGCCACTGCCGCCTGCCGCGCCTCGCGGCCCGCGCCGCGCCGCTGCCGCCTGCCGCGCCGCGCGCCGTCGCCATCGCCCGTCGCGTCGCTCGCGCCACGCAGCCGTCGCGTCGCCTCGCTCCGCGCGCCCCCACCTCGCGCCCCGCGCCGCCGTCGCGTCTCCCCTCTCCCCTCTTCCCCTTATCTCATCCCCTCTCCTATATAAACCCCACTATTCCCACTCTTTCCCTCCATCCTCACCTCCTCTCCTCTACCCACTCCACCACGCCGCCGCGTCGTCGCATGGAGCCGCCGCGCCGCTGTTGTCGTGCCGCCGCGCCGCCACCTTCGAAGCCGCCGCGCCGTCGCCCCGGAGCCGCCGCGCCGTGCGTCGCCGCCTTGCGCCGCCGTCGCCGTCGTCGCCGCCACCGCCGCCGCCGGTGAGCCGTCTCCCCCCCTTCACCTCGCGCCCACCGCCGTCGCCGCCCGGGGAGGCAAAGAGCCGAGAGAGAAAGAGAGAAACCGAGGGAGGGAAAGAAGAAGGAAGGAGGAGAGAAACCGGGAGAGAGAGAGAAGGAAAAAAAAAGAAAAAGAAAGAGAGAGAGAGAAGGAAAAAAAAGAAAAAGAAAGAGAGGGAGAGAAGGAAAAAAAAAGAAAAAGAAAAAGAGAGACTGGCAGAGAAGAGAAAGGGAGGGAGAGAAAAAGGAGAGAAAAAGAAAGAGAGGGAGAGAAAAGAGAGAAAAAGAAAAAGAGGAGAGAAAAAGAGGGAAAATAGAAAAGAAGAAAAGGAGAAAATAGAAGGGAAATTGGGGGAGAAATTAGGAGGATTTAGGAAATAAAAATGGTCGGGGTTAATCATAGATTATTTTTGGAAATTCCTCGAGCGTAATAGTATTTCGGTCGAAATTCCGAGTTAATTATAAAAATATGTTTCCTGATCAGATTAGATTAAAATTGGTAGTAATTTAGATATAAATAATAACTAAACAATTAGATGAATTCTTATAGATTATTATAGATTATTTTTGGTAATCTTTATAAGTCATCGGTTCACGGTAGAAATTCGGATTTAATCACTAGGAATTTTAGACGTATATTATATTTAGTCGTTTAGTCCTAGAATAAAATTCAACCGTATAATATTATAAGATAATTTTAGGATTCCGTCCGATATTTAGCTTGCGATAGAAATTTCTCACCTATTATATGGATATAATGCTCGGGTAGATTAAATTAAAAACTTATGACAACAAAATATTTATACCCGCAAAATAGTTTAAATCGAAATTGGGTTTGCCGTAGTTCGTAGATAGTAAAGTTAATAAAAAGGAATCGACTTTCGCATTCGACTTTCATTTGGATTTATTTGGATTTTTATTTGAATTCTAACTGAATTCAAATCAATTTTTGCACGTAACTATAGAGCCCGAGGGAGTTGCGGATCCAAGCGAAGGCCAAGACCCGCAAGACTTTGAGCAAGGCAAGTCATCACTATTCCTTGAACATGTTGATCCCAATTGCGAAATTGTTTTGTTTACAAATAAAATTGCATGCAATGATGAACATCCTACTTGTGATTATGCCATGCCTTGATTATTGTTTACCCTTAAATCTTTGTAACCATGTTTACGTATGAGTCCCTAGTCAACTATGACAATTGCTTAGAAATGCTATTCTAGAATCATGCATACTCATATTTATCAAATGCTATATGCTTGGGCAAT